AACGAATATATGCAACTTGCGATCTTTGCTTTCTTGGGGATCTGCATTACGAATGATTGCGGTACGTACGTGGTCGGTTGGAAGTGCTTGCGCCTACGCACATCCGGGATACGAATCACTGCGATGTTGCGAACATTTTCGTTTACAAAACGTCTACGTACGTGCATTTGCTTACAATTATATTTGTGATATATGTATGCTGTACGTGGATTTGTCAGCTGATCGTTAATTGTGACTTTTGAGCAAATGTCTATGATATAACCCCGAGAAAAAACATAGATCATATGTTGTCAGGGTAAAACAAAAATCGGGGACACCTCTGCATTGGTGAAGGGTTCTTCCCATTTGTTCTCATTTACATAGGTGGGCACGGTTTGTTACTCCGCCACACAACGCAACTTCTCTGTTTAGTAACGGCGTAATCAACTCGTTGTTTTTAGCTACATGTGTATAGCTGCAAGTAACTTCCCTCACTTTACTAATATATTATTATGTAACAATTAAGCCCGTTGCTCCTGGGACTCCGTGACCACGTTGCTTTTGTTTTGAAGGCACAGATGCAGCGGAATAAAGAAGCGGCGAAGTGCACACAACCTAATTGTAGGAGCATATTTTGGCGAATTTCCGGCAGCAGTTGGCCCGTGTGGTGTGCCGGTCTCGCTGCCCGCCCAGCAGCGGTAGTCCTGGATCAACCCTCCGAGAACAGGCGACCGGCAGCTTCAGGAACCAGGTGATAACGGAGCCATAGTGCTGTGATAGCTTGAGATAATTCCTGAAGTACCAGTTGTGGGAGAATTTGTGTGTCATGGGCATGTCGAACGAAATCTAAAACAATATTCGGGACAATGGCGGATCCAGAGCACCGCCCTGGGGAGAAGCAGCCCTGGCTGGAGGGGAGTCCAAAATTTGTTTTGATGAAAAAGAAAATATCATCGGATTTTGCTTGATGTATCAAAAAGTGTTGCAAAAAAATTTTTTATCCCAATAAAAATGCTCAGATTTTATTTAAGCCTTATAAATGTGGCATTTATTGCAAGCTGGGTTACTTTATGGAAGACCACGGTTCACACCATCCTGCTTTAGTCCAGGTGGTCTCCCCTTGGATCCACCCTCAATTTGGTACATTTAACCCGTCACGCATGAGACGGTCTAACAGCTGGTCTGTTTTGAACGAGCAAGCGGCCGGACAATGACTGATGTTAACATCACAATGTCCTTTGAGTTTATATTTATGGTGTATTTCGGCACCTCCGGTGTTTTACTTCAGTAGATAAGGGTATTTTGACGCATCTCATGACACATCAGGTAGCCGACAAGGATTAATTTCCAAAACTGGTGGGATTTCTTTATTACATTTTGTGTTTGTTGCATGTATGGAACTCTCAACTTAATGTGGCTTGTGTTCAAATAGCATTCACTTGACGACTAGCTATCCCCGAGGCCTGCTCATGGATTAATTTTCCTAATTTATAATGAGCTTGCGGGGCAGTATTTTAGAGTTTCTGATATTTTGGTGTCCACTCAGCTGATTCATACTGCTGTCCTTGATTGTTGTCGAAAGCAATGCGCAGGACAGTACAACACCAGCAGCGAGGCGTATGTCGAGAGGTGGAGCGGAATGTGCTTCTTTCACGGCGCTGACGTTGTCCAATGATGGACTTTGAGTGAGGCCTAGGTATTTGCTTCTCTTGGCCATTGTGTGGAAATTTTTCCGTCTAGGTAAACATAATCCAGCGTGAACATCGCAACCTTGCCTATATGTTATGATTTCAGTTGGTTACATTCCTTGAGAGCCGGATCTAAATAGTTCCTGCATTTCTGCACATATTTTCAGTTGCAAGGAAAAATGGTGATGTCTTTTAACAAAATATTTGTTATGGGTCTTTTAGGATACAGAATACTGCAATATTTGTGGATGTATGGTTAAGCGGACACCACATTTGTAAGCTTCCTTATCAGAAAGGGCTCAGAAAATTTGTGTGTGCAGGGATGTAGTATCATGCCCGTCTGCCAGTTTGTGTTAAACAATTGCAAGGTATCATTCCCAATACCAATACATTTTTGTTACACTGCACACAGACTATGAACCAGAAGGTGCCCTTATATTTATCTGTATGTTTAACTGCACAGCAACTATTAACCAGTAGGTGCTTTTACATTGATATGTATGTTTAACTGTGCACAAGGGATCAATTGGTAGGTACTCATACATTTATCTCTTTGTTCCACTGTTTATAGCTTTTCAGATCTTCAATTTTGGTATTTATTTTTATCTATGATACATGGCCAGGGGCATGTTTGTATTGCATTGTGGCCCAGTAAGTGTAACTGATTAAAATGAGAGTAAGGATAGATTAAACCTAACTAAACAGCAAAGCAGTTTCAGAATGTTGTATCCAGAGATGAGTTGCAAGTGAAAATTATCAAATTTGTAAGGAAATAAAACAATTGTACTTCAACCTGATATGATATGAGCTATGAGACACCACTTGAAATCCTTTCTCCAAGGTTCCTTCTTTCATTCATTTCCTCATTCATTCATCACATCAGGAACATTCTTCAACTTGCACTCTAGCATTACAGAAGTCAACTCAGATATCAACTTGTGTACAAACTGTACTTATGCCACAGAGCATCAGTGTTCCAATATTTGGCCACGTGATGGTAGGGATGTATATATTTTTGTGGTATACACCCTGGCTTGGAACTCACTGCCTGTTGTCCCTTCCTCGCTCAAGATCAGCCAATCAGCATCAGCCTGATGGCTGTTGTCCCAGTATATAAGTGCCTCAGGCTTGACAAACAGGCTGGGCAGGTCAGATGTTTGGGTTCAGTACAGGGGCCACCAGAGAGCCAGGATTCTTGAAGAATGAAGTGATATTTGCATCCTAGTGCACACCCTACTGGATAAATTTTGGAATGCTGGTTGGAGCATGAACTAGACATATGGCTTTTGATTATCTTACAACAAAATGTTGTGAAAATAATTACTACCAATGTATTTTACAACCAAAACAGTGTCATACTCACCATGCATTGTCTTATTACATGTTGCATTATGTTCAGGTTTAGCTGCAAATCATGATGAAAGATTAAGGTGTTGTCTGATGTTTAAGACTACTTGTGGCCAAAAAGGTTACCCTTTGATATGCTGTATTGGCCAATTTGCACTGCAATATGTTACTGCACTGATGTAATACAGGGTCATTGACTCATGGCAATAACATGCCTGACATGCTGTCATTTCAGAAATGCAGAGTGAACCATCCTATCTGCACTAGTGCCCTCCATCAGATCACACGGCTGCCACTATGTATAGCGACTGGGTGTCGCTCAGTATCGCCGTGCATGACCGCGAGTCAGAGACACGGAGCGTGCTGAGCCGCCTGCCGCCGGCTGCCGGCCAGACTGTGGTGGCAGCTGTGGTGCGTGGCCTGGCGGGCACGCTTGGCATCACGGCCGCGCCCCAGCCCAGCCCGCTGGCTGCAGCCAATGAGGTCGATTGGTGCATGGAGGTGAGCTGGGGTCAATGGTGTCGCCACCATTGTTCTGCACAGGTTTTATTCCATTTTGTGTGTGTGTATTCTGTTGAGCTTTTCAGTTACACTAGCTAGCATGAGTGGAAGACATGCCAGGCAGCCAAGTACAGTGAAGTGCTTCGCTGAGTGCTGTCGCCCATCAATATTCGGACCCACTGCGTCCATCACGCGACGATGTCTTGCCGCCGCCGGCACCGTCTGCCCAGCCCATTGAGCGCTGCTCGGTCCCATCGCTGCCTCACGCCACTGGCGCATCCGCGTTGTGATGCTGTGACGGTCTGGCGTAGTGTGACGAGGCGTCTGGCACCCCTCCGTCCAGGTGATATGCTACGGCCTGAGCCTGCCTCTGTCGGAACACGACACCATCCGAGACTGCGTCAACGTGTACTGCGAGTGGCTGACAGCGCTCCTGCCCACGTCCAAGCTGTGTGTGCCCGAGGCGGTGCGCGAGCGGCCCAACCTCTACTCGCGCCGCATGCTCAACCACCTGCAGAACCTGTTCGTGCCACGCAGCGACCAGTGTGAGTGTGAGAGGGACTTCTGTCGGGGAAGGGACGCCGAGAGTTGCGCTCAAGTCTGAGTAGTAGTGCTAGGGGTGTGAGTCCGCACCATGCAGTGTAGTCCAAATGTCAAGTTTTAAGGTCTGCCATGGGCTTGCGAAAGGGCGGGACAGGTGCAAGGGACACAACATGCGCTTTATGATGGGCGTGATGGGTCCGCATCCTGCTTTGGAGAAGTTTCCAGCGGGGCACGAGTGGCTTGAACAAACAGTCCATGTATAGTTCCGGTCGTGAAGAATCTACGAAACTATTTAAAGTATGACTGTATAATTTTTTCAGCATATACATATGTCCTCCATAAGGCAAAGCGCATTCAGTGTGGTGCTAGCTATCTGTAGCTAGCTGTCTGTAGTGTGGTGCTAGCTACCACGCTGCTGTTCATTTGCCTGCGCCTGCGCCAAGACCTGCCACGCCCCCCCCCCCCCTCGCCCGTGCCTGGTGTCTAACCGGCGTCGCCGCCCGGCAGCGGTCGACACCATCAACCGGCAGGCGGTGCTCTGTCACCGGGTGCTGCGCACCGTGCAGACGCTGACGCACGAGTCGGAGCGGCTCGAGCCGGACACCTGGTCCACTCTGCTGCTGTTCCTGCTCACCGTCAACGACTCGCTGCTCGCGCCGCCCACCGTCAAGGGTAGGCGTCAGGGTCGTCCTACGGTGCCCGGCGCCGTTCGGTACGCCTCGCGGACCTGGCGCACTCCTGTGCCGCGTATTGCGCCAGGTCGGCAATGTCTAGGTGGCAGTGACCGTCACTATCGACTGCGCGTTGGCCACACGAGACGAGCTGACTAAGTTATCTGACCTTCGCATGCGTCTCGCAAAGACATCCTGCTGATGCAAAAACGCACAAAGTATCCAAATATCGTTATACGTGTTTTGTGCCATCGCACTGCAGCGTTTGGAGACGCCTCAGTTCTGGCCTACTTTCAGACGACATCGGTGACCAGATGTACGAGCGGGTTCTGGGTGTGCTGTTCGAGGTGTGGATCCAGGCATGCTGCAAGTGCTTCCCACCGCCGCCGCTCTGGAAAACGTTCAGGTGCGGGCGGGATGGAGGTCCACCATGTGTCGCTGGCTGAAGGGCGGGACGGAGGTCCACCATGTGCTGCTGGCTGAAGGGCGGGACGGAGGTCCACCATGTGCTGCTGGCTGAAGGGCGGGACGACGGCGGCCCACCATGCGTCGCTGGCAGAAGGGCGGAACGCCGATCCATCATGTGTCGCTGGCTGAAGGGCGGGACGATGGTCCACCATGTGTCGCTGGTTGAAGGGCGGGACGGAGGTCCACCACGCATCGCTGGCTGAAGGTTTACGAAATAGGAGCGCTGTCCGATCAATGGATGACTTTCGCGTTATGCCTTCACGGGCATAACTTGTGGACAGATGCACACACCTTGGACACAACCTTGGTGTCGGTGATGGAGAGTCGTGATGGTGTTGTGGTCCTGTGAGACCGTGTATTGCTGATCACCATGATGACCTTCGACGACCTCTCAGGGCGAGCCTGTAATGGTAAGGCCTGTCCAACCCGGGAAACTGCTGAGCTTATGACGCAACCTGTGGCGCCCTGGCACTGCCGCGCAGACCTGAGGCGACCTTAGGTGACCTGTGACGTGCCCAGGGAGAGCTGCTTGCACTAGCTCTATCGTCCTGGCCTGCTGGACCAGTGGAGCTGCGTAATGACCTGTGACGACCTGAAGTCACTGCACTGACCTGGTGTGACCTTAGGTGACCTGTGACCCCTCCAGGGAGAGCTGCCTGCATGGGCGCTACCATATGGGCCTGGTGGACCAGTGGAGCTGCATGACGACCTGTGGCGACCTGTGGTTGCTTTGCTGACCTGGGGTGACTGTAGGTGACCTGTGACGCCCTCAGGGAGAGCTGCTTGCACTGGCGCCACCGTCCGGGCCTGGTGGACCAGTGGAGCTGCGTGATGACGGCGCTGACTGCCCGCCTGTTGGAGTCGATGTACGGCCCGGGCTTCCCGACGCTGGCCGTCCCGGAGGAGGATGCGGTGCCGGCGGCCATGTCGGCAGAGGCCGTGGCGCAGACCTGGTACCGCATACTGCATACGATTGGTAGGTAACGGCCGGTGGCGCCGATGACGTCTGGACTGGTGGTGCATGCTCATTGATGAAGTTTGTTAGTTAACAGTCATCATCCGATTGGCATTGTACCATCTGATTGCGCGGCACAGCTATTGTCGTAGTTGTGAGTTCGTTCAGCACAGTGATTGCCGTGGTTGTTGATTGGCTCAGGGTCGTTGCCCCTCGGATTATATGTTATGAACAGTTTTGTGAATCCTTGTATACCAGCAGCATGATCACCGCCTTTGGGGACAAGCAGCTGTTAGAGCGAAGATCGGGAAACGAAACGTGGCCATTTCCACCGGAGCCTTGTGTGCTTCTGGTGTATGTTTCGTCCCGTCCTTGTACAATCCTGGTACCAGTCGACTGAGCTTGCCGCCGTGTAAGCGAACGGGTCACTGACTGCTGTGTTACCTCTTGCATCTCCTCTGATTATGGTCAGCCTCGTCTCACGTAATATCAGACCCGTGATATCCCTCCACGCAGTCATTAAGCCGCCATTTTTTGCTCTTTATAATGACATGCGTTAACGGCCATCTTTACGTGTGGGCGTCCGATTATGCCAAATGCAAATGCAAATATGGCATTTTATGCTATTTGGATCAGGTGTGCACGAGCTTTGTTTGTGCCCCACCACCGTAAGATGAGTTGGTCTCCCCGTTTGTGTTGTAACGCGATTCCGACGCTGCCACCTCATCCCACGTGGGTAAGAACATCGCGCATCACTCCCAGTCGGCTGACGTCGCTTCCCGGTTGCCAGGCAACCCGGTGGAGATGAGCAGCGCGGCGTCGGTGAGCAGCACACAGCAGTTCCTGCAGTACGCCATCAGCAGCGAGGCGGTGATCGAGCCGCACCAGCACCCGTGCCTGGCGCAGCTGCCGGCCATCTACCACCGGGCCGTGCGTGCCGTCGCCCTGCTCGTCAACGCCTTCCTCGGTCAGTGGCCTCAGGCGGAGGGGCGTGCTCCGCGCCGCACTGAGGGGCGTGTGTGGGTGGGGTGTCGCGCACCGAGGTGAGGCTGCGTGGCGACGGATCTCCGCTTTGGAAGGCTGGCTTTTACCATAGGGTGTGTGAATTGAGCGATGAACTGAGAGACGATTGCTAGAAAAGTAGCGCGTTTAAACTATTTTGAACCATTTTTCGTTTTTTCTGCTAACTTAGTAGATAATGTCCTCATCATGTGGACAGTATTGTGTCAGCGAGTTTGTACTGGCCTGCTGAGCAGTCTTCCTATTTTTCCGAGAGTGCGATTTGAAGTGACACATGCCAATAAATTATGTTTTGTGCATGAAAAGTTGTTGGCCGCTTATACACATGTTTTGATATTTATCGTGAAGGTTCCCGTTGGATTACATTCTTTCACAGACGTTTTCACGTTTTTGGGCACGCTGAATGCCGTTGTCGCGCCCAGAAACGCTAATAAACAGCAACAAAGAGCGGTCGCTTTCAGGTGCATGCTGCAGCCAGCCTGCTCTCTTGCCGTTGGTGCGCCCGTGCGGCCGGGCGCGGACGAGTCTGTGTATGTCTCGTGCCTGGCTGGCGCTGCGGGTGCCACAGCGGGGACACATGGTGTGGCGTGCGGCGGCGCCTGACGACCCGGCCGCGCCGCCAGGTGTGACGGAGCCGGCGGCTGAGCCGGCCGCCCGCAAGGACAGCTCTGGTGCCGCGCCGACGGCGGCCGGCGCCGGCAGCAACGTCACGCCGCCCGTGCAGCGCCGACCCACCAAGAGCTTCAGCTCCGGCTCGGCCAACAAAGGTGCGCCGATGGGCTGCTCCTCCGCCTCCGTCTGTCCGAGGGCAGTTGCAGCTATCGCGGCACGTCGGAGCGGTTACGGAGCGCGCGGTTGTCTAATTCTCGCTCTCTTTTGTCCGCCCATCGTAACAGAGGTTCGTGTGCGACTAGGATATCGAAGCTCTGGTGTGTGCCCCGTATTCTCGGTTTCTTTTAGCTCAAGGAAATGTGTCTGAGTCTCCATGCTTAAAAAAAACAAGTTCGTGACGGCCGAATTAGGAAATGCCGCAATAACGTTGTGGCAATTCATGGTGGTAGATGATTTCTCATAACAACCGAAACGAAAGAGAACGAAAGTTTCTTGATGGATGACGGGCTCATCATTTCAGTATCGACTCGCCCGGTTCCTGTTCCCTAACTCGCATCCCTCTTGACAGCGAGCCGCAGCTCGATCATCGGTAGCCTGGGCTCGCGCAGCTCCGTGCCGCCGGCTGGCGCGTCCCCGGCCTCGTCCAGCAGCTCGCCGGGCGCCGCCGAGCCGCCAGCGCCGGCCGCCGCACCGGGCGCCGGCCAGGCGCACCAGCCGGCCGCCGCTGCCGCTGCTGCCGCCGCCGCCGCCGCCGCTGCTGCTGCTGCTGCTGCCGCTGCCGCTGCCGCCGCCGCTGCCGCGTCGCCGCTCAGTGAGTGCTGGCGCTGGCCGAGTCGTGGCCGGCGGACGTAGACGTGGACGCGGTTCGGTGTGATTTTTGCTCGAGCATGGTTGGTATTGATGATAATGTGGGCTCGTAAGCTTTCCTTTTTGTCTTATTATGTGTGGTGACATCTTGCATGACCACTGTGTGCCATCTCACTATTGTTTTTACAATATCGTGGGTGGGGCAACTGATGAGAAGGCTATGATAGTATCACATAGATATACCTACTTTGTAAGAAAATGGTTTGTGTACAATAAACACGTTGCTTTCATTGAATGCCTGCCGCATCGCACACCGTCGCTGTGGTGCGCAGCTGTTCAGTGGCGTGACTATGCCACCCTCGCTGCCAGGACTACCTGAGCAGGCATTGCAGCTGGCTCCTGGTCGACCCAAGTGCAACAGCATCCTCCACCTGTTCGGCGCCTGGCTGTTCGAGGCTGCCCTGGTCGGCACCAGCGTTCTCAGCTCGGCCAAACGCACCCAGGGTATGTCTGGGCGGGGCTCGTGCGCACCTGCGAGGGTACGCTCTCAGGATGCCGCCTGTGATTCAGCTTCGCCCGTTGTTGAGATGTTAGTAAGCCCGACATGCTCCCTGGCGCAGTGTCACGGTGTTGACAGGGTCTGTTATCATCAGCTGTGTTGTCGACGCGGCCTGGCTGCATTGGCATGCGGTTTTGCTTGGCTAAATACGAGAATAGCACTCGGCTCAGCTGTTGCTCCCATCACGAAGAGCTTCTCGGCGCTCCACTTGACTGGCGATGCCGCGCCGCTCGTGACCATGACGCGCCGCTCGTGACCTCCGCCCCCCCCCCCCCCCGTCAGGTCAGAGCAAGCGCGCCAGCGCGGCGTACCTGGACTCGCGCAAGTCGTCGACCAGCTCGCAGACGCCGGAGCCGTCCGAGCTGCCCGCTGCCGTGACGGCCGACAAATTCGAGCGCGGCCGTGCCGAGGCGCTGGGCGCCCTGTGCCGCGTGTTCTGCGCCAAGAAGACGGCCGAGGACATCCTGCCGTCGTATCTGGCCAGCTTCTACCTGGTGCTGCACGAGGCGCTGTCCGACCGCGAGGTGAGAGGAGGCGGCCGCGTGCCGGCCCGCCAGGATCGGCGAGGGGCCGTCCTGTTGTGAAGTCGGGGGTTTCGAGTAGCCAGATAGTCGTCGTTAAGTCCAGAGCTCTGACCAGGCGTTGGGAGCAAGGCAAGGCGGGGGCCTTTGGGGTGATAATCCTTAGGGAGAGGGCTGGATGACGCCGCCTCTCCCGAGTGACGGGATACGTGCCGGACCCAGCGACCGGTACTGTCCTGCTGATGACGCCGTCGTCCTTACTGCTAGACGTCAGAGGTGAGTCAGAACCTGGCGGCGATCCTGCTGAACTCCTCCAGCCTGCTGCAACTGGACCTGGACGGCGTCAACTGTCTGCTACCTGCACTCACCGACGCTGTGCACCACGTCATCGCCTCGCCTCGCCCCATCACGGTCAGGTGAGCCACTGACGCGGCGCACCATGTCATCGCCTCGCCCCGCCCCATCACGATCAGATGAGCCGCTGACGCGGTGCACCATGCCATCGCTTCGCCCCGCCCCATCGCGGTCAGATGAGCCGCTGACGCGGTGCACCACGTCATCGCCTCGCCCCACCCCATCACGATCAGGTGAGCCACTGACGCGGTGCAGTATATCATCGCCTCGCCCCACCCCATCATGATCAGGTGAGCCACTGACACGGTGCACCGCATCAGGACGCCACTGCCGCCGAGAGCTTCGACGGAGCTGTTGTTGTTGAGTTGTTCACTGATCATAGTGATTTGAATAGGAATATGCATCCCTAAATATGAGGTCATCAAATCCGTTCGAGAAGCGGTAAATGTAATGCCTAGAGGTGGCCGTGTATGCTCTGGTTCCATGCAATGTAACATCAATGGCCTTCGAAAGGTGCCGCTGGAGGCAGCAAACACGCCTTGTTTGACTGCGTTTCATGCTGGGATCGATCATGACGCGTGCGCCGCCTTGTTTGGTCACTGACGCCGTGTCTCCGGCTGCAGGGACAGCGACGTGCCGGGCTCGGCGCTGCGGCGGGCCTCTGTCCGTCTACTGGTCTCCATGCTGGCGCTGCCCCTCCACTTCCAGGTAGGCGGCCGGCCGGCCGGCCTCGGCCCGGCGCGGGACGGACCGTGGCGGAAGGGCGCGTGATCTCGTGGCCGACGGTGCCGCAGTGTGGCTGCAGGCACGGGCGTGGCGTCAAGCGTTAGCCGGGCTGCAGTCCCAGCTTTGTGGCGCAGCTATGTTTGACCATCAGTGAAGTTACGGAAAGTGGCTGATGCGGACAGGTGCTGCCCCCTGGGGCGGCCGTCAGTCACATGTTCGGTGGCTTACAGCATTAAGACCGGACGGCCGCCAGCGTGTAGCAGCTGTCGGCGTCCGTACGGCGAGTGTGAACACCTGTGTGCGCGCTCGCCGCCAGGGACTGACGATCCGCGAGCCGGTGAGCGGCGACCGGCCGGCCGTCAGTTTCCTGCAGCTGCGGCCGCGCCTGGTCGGCCTCCTCATCAGTGGCCTGCAGCAGGAGACGGACACAGCCAACTGCCAGATGATGCTCGGTGGGCACGCGCCACGCGCCGCCGCGGCGAGAATGTGACGCTCCGCGGCCGACATTCCCGGGCGGCAGGATGCGTTTTAGGCGGGCGCTGTCCGGCACGTCCTTCCGGCAGTGAAGTGGTGCACATCTTCATGTCACCATGGATTGCTTTGAATTACTGACAGAGCCAGGTGGCTTGTAGTCTTGTGGGTGGTTACCAGTTCGTGTAGATGTACATATTCGATGCCTTACGTCAACGGAGCAGGCTGGGAGGAGGCTGATTTGGCTCGACCCCTATGTGATCCATGCGGAACAGACCAGGACGAGGCTGATCCGGCCCGAGTCCTGTGCTCCATGCGGAACAGACCAGGACAAGGCTGATCCGGCTCGAGCCCTGTGTGCTCCATGCGGAACAGACCAGGACGAGGCTGATCCGGCTCGATCCCTGTGTGCTCCGTGCGGAGCTGGCTGGGATGAGGCTGATCCGGCTTGATCCCTGTGTGCTCCATGCGGAGTAAGCTGGGACGAGGCTGATCCGGCTCGATCCCTGTGTGCTCCATGCGGAGCAGGCTGGGACGAGGCTGATCCGGCTCGATCCCTGTGTGCTCCATACGGAACAGGCCAGGACGACTCTGATCCGGCTCCATTTTGCGCGCAGGCGGGCTGCTCATGTGCGTACAGGACAGCGCGCTGTACGAGGAGTCCAGCCAGATGATGCCGGACCCCATGTCACCTGGCCAGGCTGCCTCCTCAGGTGGGTCAGCGGTAGACGGTCAGGGGACTCGCCGGAAAGGTCACAGGTCAGGTGACTCGTCATCCTGGGTTGACATCTGGTGGCTTGGGGGACACATGGCAGGTCCGCGGGGAGGCCAGTGGGAGCGCTCTTGCGGGGCGTCTGGCGTGCCGTGGCGATGTGCTCTGCGGGTCACGTCTCTGCGCCAGTGTGAGTGACGTTACGGTGACGGTAGCGCGTGACCGGGGGTGCCTGTGGCGCACTTATTTGGGAAGCCGTCCCAGAACGTGTCCCCATTCCTGGGCGTGTTTTTGTTTTTGTTGTTTCGTTTGCTGTTGCGGGCCCGGCTGGCCCGGGGAGGCCGTCGGATGTGCGCCGGGATGGCGCCACAGCGCAGGTAACGCCGCCGCCCCGAGCGGCGCCCGGGGCGTGCGCCGCGCCTGACTGGGCCATGAACGGCGTGTGCGCCTGTCCTCAGCGGCGCCCGACAGCCTGAGCGCCTGCAGTGACGCCAGTTTCCCAGAGGACTCATCCGAGGAGCCGCCGGCTATTGGTAACCCCAGCCCCCGTCCGTGCCCCCTACCCCTCCGGCCGGTGGCACCGTCCCCACTCACGGCCTCCGGTACTGCACCGCCTTCGGGTGATGGTGGCGCGGGTCTCACTCCTTCCGGCCGAGCTGGGAAGTGAAGCTTTCTCTGGGTACCGCGTGGTGGCGGCGTGAGCGGCATGCCCGAACGGGACTCGGAGAGCACGGGCTGCACCGGGCTTGTGGTGGTGTGGGGTAGGGCGCGACATTGGCTTCTGGTCTTCACCTTTCCAGCGTTCGACGTAGATTAGCTGGTGTGAAGACACGGACAGTTAGTATGAAGTAACGGTGCATTGTGATAGACAATTCATTCAATGACTTACCATAATAAATTAGCTCCCAGTTCGCCCCCAAGCGGCGAGCCGTTTTGTCGTGTTTGCACCGTAAGATGATGGTGGTGGGTATAGATGGAGGCCTTTTGGTGGATGTGCTTGTCTGGTTCAGCACGATACACTAAATGTGTGTGCACAGGTGTGCACGTTGCACTGGTGCAGGGCTGCGGGTGTGGCTTATTTACCTCGTCTGTCAGCGAGGAACCGCGTTGATTACAATCGATGGGTGCTTGAACATCCGTGGTTGCTTCGGCGTTGTATGGCTGCTTCGCTAGATCTGGCGCTGACCCGCTGTAGCGGAGCCCGCTGATTGTCGATCCAGCTCACAATCGGCTTACCAGCTCGGGTCCCAGCCCGGCTCATTAGATACTGTGATACATGAACCTGCTGCAACTGCTAACAGTTTGAGGCTAGAACACATCCAGAACAATCAAGTATAGCCACATGCATACCAGTGTCATTGAATGAGACGTGTTAAGCCACGGAGGGTGCATCCCTCTCGCCCGGCGGCGTCGTATCGGTCGGCGCTTGCCCCCTGGTGGGGCGGCGCCTCTGTAGACCCGACCGGTGGCCTGTGACGGTCTGTGACGGTCCAGCCCGCCCCGCTCGCCCCCTGGGGGGGCGGTCGGCTGACCGCTGCCTGCGCGGCTGCCCGCAGACTCGGCGCGCGGCTTGTACGTGCGCGCCATCTACCTGGTCTGCCACCGACTCATGTCCTCGTGGAAGGCCGATCTCAACATATCGCTGGCGGCGCTCGAGCTGCTGGCCGGCCTGGCGCGCGTGCGACTCCAGCAGCAGGGTACGGGCCGGCGCTCGCCGAGCTGGGGCCCTTCCCAGAGCAGTGTGGGCTGTAGCGAACGGGAGCACGTGATGCTGGGAGACGGGAGCGTTCGTTCGATGGCGGTCGCCAGTTTTGTCTAGTTGTGATGCGTTGCTGTTTTACCCGGTGCAGCGTTGCCGGCACTCTGGGCAAATACCGTCCTTACAAAGCTGGCCCGAGTTTTACGGATGCTACTGGCATCAGCCCCACACGTTTGTCTAATTCAACAATGTCATCCCATGCAGCTCGGAGAAGACCCGGTGAGTTCTGATTGTGTGCGCCTCACGTGGTCATTTTAACTGTGCATCGACCAGAGACGCGCTGCGCGTTCGCTGCATGTACTATCGTGTTGGAGTGCCGCGCCCTCGTGGTTCGAGAAAAGTCGCCAGCTACCGCATGGAGCTACATCCGCCCTCGTTGGTCGCGTCATGTTTCGCTGGCGAGAGGGCGCCCGGGCGAGCGCATCCTAGCCCTGCGTTATGTTTCGCTGGCGAGAGGGCGCCCGGGCGAGCGCATCCCAGCCCTGCGTTATGTTTCGCTGGCGAGAGGGCGCCCGGGCGAGCGCATCCTAGCCCTGCGTTATGTTTCGCTGGCGAGAGGGCGCCCGGGCGAGCGCATCTCAGCCCTGCGTCATGTTTCGCTGGCGAGATGGCGCCCGGGCGAGCGCACCCCAGCCTCGCGTCATGTTCGCGCACCTCAGCGTCGCGTCCCGTCCCCCAGACGCGATGGAGTGCAAGCGTGCGGTGAAGTGGCTCTGCGACTACATCTGCCACCAGTGCTCGCGCCCGCCGCCGGCGCACTCCAAGGTCAGCGCAGGTCGAGCTCGCCTCGGCTCCGGACGCGCCGGTGGTCTGACCGAGTGGGCTTGCGAGAGCTCATTGCGCGGTCGTTTGGGTGTGGGTCGATTACGATGGATGAAGGTAAACCCAGTGGCTGCAGGTGCGGGGCCGCGTGGGGGGTACCGGTAGTGTAGTGGTTAATGCATCTGCATAACCACTGCGCGTCTGGGAAACCGGAGGTATGGGTTTCGACTCCTCGCGGTGCTCGCCCTCCCTGCCAGGGTGAGAGGCAGGCGACGCCATGTAGCCTCAGTGGCTGAGTGCGTCGTAAAGCTCAAATGACACAGGGGGGCCACGTTGTCACAATTCCGTTGGCAGTGTGCGCATCGCACCCTTTTCAGGAGCTCTAGCAGCCTCTGTAATTGGAATGGATGCGTGGCTGTGCGTTGGGATTGTTTGGCTAGATGGTCAAATGAAAGTCTCAGATGACAAACGACAGTGTCCAATGACCCGCGTAATAGTGTGCCCGCTGGCCTCGCTGGAAGGGCAGCGCTGCAAGCTTGCGCCGTGCGCGGCGCTGAGTCCGGCGTCACGAGCGCCGCGCCAGCACCACGCCGGCACCTCCGGCGCGGCGCTGAGTCCGGCGTCACGAGCGCCGCGCCAGCGCCACGCCGGCACCTCCGGCGCGGCGCTGAGTCCGGCGTCACGAGCGCCGCGCCAGCGCCACGCCGGCACCTCCGGCACGGCGCTGAGTCTGACGTCACGAGCGCCGCGTCAGCGCCACGCCGGCACCTCCGGCGCGGCGCTGAGTCCGGCGTCACGAGCGCCGCGCCCGCGCCACGCCGGCACCTCCGGCGCGGCGCCCATCGGCCCGCCCGCTAACCCGCCTCCGCGGTAGGACCTGCACTCGACGATCGTGGCCGCGTTCCGGTGCGTGTCCGTGTGGCTGCTGGAGCACCCGTACCTGCTGGATGACCGGGAGACGCTCTCCACACTGCTGGAGGTGGTCGAGCTAGGCATATCGGGCTCCAAGTCCCAGGTGAGGCCGGCCGGCGCCGCGCGATTTGAAGAGCGACAGCCGGCGCCGACGCTGGGGCGCCACGTGTCGGTCAGGTGATGCGGAGTGCTGCGACGTTCCCGGTCATTGAGGCGCTGTCTTATTGCCTGTCTCGACAGACTCCGTTCACCGCCTGTGTTGATCAGGTGCTGTCCCCGGCTCGATCCCCGTCTCCTTTTCACCTCTCCGCCTCCTCGGCAGACTCGGTCCACCGCCTGTGCTGATCAGGTGCTGTCCCCGGCTCGATCCCCGTCTTCTTCTCACCTCTCCGCCTCCTCGGCAGACTCGGTCCACCGCCTGTGCTGATCAGGTGCTGTCCGCGGCTCGATACCCGTCTTCTTCTCACCTCTCCGCCTCCTCGGCAGACTCGGTCCACCGCCTGTGCTGATCAGATGCCGGCCCGGCTCGATCCCCGTTCACCTCTCCGCCTCCTTGGCAGACTCCGCCGGCAGTGACGTCGACTTGTTACCATCATCTGGTGTAGTGTCCTGCCTTGTCTCCCGGCAGCAGCTGTTGTGGTTATTTCATGTTGATACATGCATCTGGTTCTGCATGCTGTTAAACGATGCCTCGGTCTGCCCATACGGCCTGGAGGGGTCCCCGAACGCACCGCTTCCTGTGATGAGGCTAACTCGCCTTTTTGAGGCGGCGTGTTCTGGTGTGATGGATCTGTGATGTGATCATGATGAGATGCATCTGATGATGATCAGGCCAACCATGCCGCTGCCTCGCCAGGCTAAGTACGGGGAGCCGCCGGTGATGAAGCAGGAGAAGCAGCTGAAGCCGGCTTCCATGCGGGTGAAGGAGGCGGCTGAGGCGCTGCTCTACGTCCTCATGGAGCAGGTCAGCCTGGTGGCTGCGGGCTACAGATGCCCTCGCGGAGAGGCTCGGCGGCAGTCCCCCGGGGCAGAGGAGCGCGCGTTTCGGCAGTGACCGCAGCCCGGCGCTGCTCTCATAACAACGGAGCCGTCGCTAATCGGTGGTGCTGGCCCTGGGGCAGCGTTGATCACTGACTCATGTCCCGTCCACTAGGGCTGAAGTAGCCCCTAGAAGCCCCTGTCGTCCCGAAGTGTGTGTTATCGCCGCTGGTGGGGCTGACACTTTCATAACCCGTCCCGTTTAGATCCGATTACCTTTGTCGCAGATGGGCCACTCGCCCTCCCTGAGCAGAGTGTCTCCATTGACCCGACCCTCTGGCGCGTCTGCCCTGCCCCGCTGCCTGCGCTACCTCCCACTCCTGAGCGGCGCCTCGTCTCCCGCCGTGACCTGTGCCCCCTGACGCGCCTGCCCCGCCCCGCTGCCTGGACTACCTCTCACTCCTGAGCGGCGCGTTGTCCCCCGCCGTGACCTGTGCCCCCTGACGCGCCTGCCCCGCCCCGCTGCCTGGACTACCTCTCACTCCTGAGCGGCGCGTTGTCCCCCGCCGTGACCTGTGCCCCCTGACGCGCCTGCCCCGCCCCGCTGCCTGGACTACCTCTCACTCCTGAGCGGCGCGTTGTCCCCCGCCGTGACCTGTGCCCCCTGACGCGCCTGCCCCGCCCCGCTGCCTGGACTACCTCTCACTCCTGAGCGGCGCGTTGTCCCCCGCCGTGACCTGTGCCCCCTGACGCGCCTGCCCCGCCCCGCTGCCTGGACTACCTCTCACTCCTGAGCGGCGCCTCGTCTCCCGCCGTGACCTGTGCCTCCTGACGCGTCTGCCCCGCCCCGCTGCCTGGACTACCTCTCACTCCTGAGCGGCGCCTCGTCTCCCGCCGTGACCTGTGCCTCCTGACGCGTCTGCCCCGCCCCGCTGCCTGGACTACCTCTCACTCCTGAGCGGCGCCTCGTCTCCCGCCGTGACCTGTGCCTCCTGACGCGTCTGCCCTGCCCCGCTGCCTGGACTACCTCTCACTCCTGAGCGGCGCCTCGTCTCCCGCCGTGACCTGTGCCCTCTGACATCTGCCCCGCCCCGCTGCCTGGACTATCCCCCACTCCTGAGCGGCGCGTCGTCTCCCGCCGTGACCTGTGCCCTCTGACATCTGCCCCGCCCCGCTGCCTGGACTGCCTCCCACTGCTGAGCGGTGCGTCGTCTCCCGCCGTGACCTGTGCCCTCTGACACGCCTGCCGCTGGCCGCTGGCAGGTGGACTATTTCCCGTCGCCGAGCGGTGTGTCGTCGCTGTCGACGCACCTGACCGAGGCGTCGCTGCTGCAGCACTGTCACCCGGGCGCCGCGCCCGCCCAGAGGCGCGCAGGGCTCGCACAGTTCAAGTACTTTGTGGCCGAGAGCCTGCTTATCGCCCTGCTCGAGCAGCCGCTCGGCAACGACGAGGGTAGGCTGCAGGGGTGACCGGGGACAGGAGCGTGCTGCAGGGCTGGATAGCGACGAGGGTGGTGACGGGTGGCTGAGGACGGCGCGGGAACTGCGGTGTTGGCGGAAGTGAGGTCACCTGGGGGCGGACATGTCTTGGCAGTATCCTTGGCCTCCGTGACAGACCCGCAGCCGACGGTGACCTGTCTGATGTCCCTGCCATGACCTGACCGTCTCCCCAACAGACCCACAGCCGACGGTGACCTGCCTGATGTCCCTGCCATGACCTGACCGTCTCCCCCGACAGACCCGCAGCCGACGGTGACCTGTCTGATGTCCCTGCCATGACCTGACCGTCTCCCCGACAGACCCGCAGCCGACGGTGACCTGCCTGATGTCCCTGCCGTGACCTGACCGTCTCCCCAACAGACCCGCAGCCGACGGTGACCTGCCTGATGTCCCTGCCGTGACCTGACCGTCTCCCCGACAGACCCGCAGCCGACGGTGATCTGTCTGATGTCCCTGCCATGACCTGACCGTCTCCCCGACAGACCCGCAGCCGACGGTGACCTGCCTGATGTCCCTGTCATGACCTGACCGTCTCCCCGGCAGACCCGCAGCCGACGGTGACCTGCCTGATGCGTGGCCCGTCGCTGCGCACCGCCTGGATGCTGCAGCTGCGCCACCTGCCGCGCCACAAGTCCGGCGCCCGTCTCGCCTCGTCAGCCAACCCGGGCCGGCCGCTGCCCATGTCGGAGGCGGCCGCGCGCCACCCGCACACGCCCGCCTTCTTCCCTGAGACGGTGGACCGCATCCCGGTGTGCAAGGCGTGAGTTCTGTGTTGCTCGGAGGCCGCGGTCGCAGGCCGGACCTGCGCCAGGCGGGGTGTGTAAGGTGTGAGTTCCGTGTTGCTCGGAGGCCGCGGTCGGAGCCCGGACCTGCGCCAGGCGGAGTGTGCAAGGCGTGAGTTCCGTGTTGCTCGGAGGCCGCGGTCGGAGCCCGGGCCTGCGCCAGGCGGGGTGCGCAAGGCGTGAGTTCCGTGCTGCCCGGAGGCCGCGGGCGGAGCCCGGACCTGCGTCAGGCGGACCGCGCCCGCTGCTCGCCCGGTGCGCTTGTCTGCGGGTGATTAGTCTGCAACTGATATCCGCAGCATTTCGGGCTAGTTTCATACGTGGAACGAGCTACGTGCGCTTCTATCGGAACCTGGAACGTGGGAATGAGCCGACTATGCGGGGTAAAATCATACGCCGGGATCAGCCACGCGTAATGGCAGATGACTACCCCCTCTGTTCGCCTCAATGTGATGCCAGTTTTGCTGCCAGTGGGCGGCGGGATCACGCCCCATCGCTGAGCGCTGATTGGCCGGTGTTTCGGCAGGGACCGGTCCATCCCGAGCCTGGAGTCGCTGATACAGGACCAGAAGTCAGCGTCGGAGCACAACCGCATGCTGCACCTGATGGAGCAGCAGGTGAGGCTGCCAGGGCTCCGCTCGGGCTGGGGCTGAACCGCGTCAGCGGCGGCTTCTCCGGAGCCGCGCGGTGGCCGAACGGTGCCCCGGAGCCGGGGTCTCGCTGGAATCAGGGCGGCTCCTCCGAAGCCGTGCGGTGGCTGAGGAGCGCCCCGGAGCCGGGGCCTCGCTGGAATCAGGGCGGCTCCTCCGAAGCCGTGCGGTGGCTGAGGAGCGCCCCGGAGCCGGGGCCTCGCTGGAATCAGGGCGGCTTCTCCGAAGCCGTGCGGTGGCTGAGGAGTGCCCCGGAGTCGGGGCCTCGCTGGAATCAGGGCCGGTTTAGACAGCAGGTCCGGCAATGATCTAATGACACGGTTCGAGACGGACTGGCTCGTTTACTGTGGTTTAGTCACCTAGTGATCCTTTGGGGCCCGCGCTCACTCTGATGTAACGTGTTGGTAAAGTCCGTATCGCCGCCAGCCCCCTGTCTGCTCCTGCCGTGTGTCCACTGACCAGGCACCCCTCCTCTAGACGAGCCGGGAGGGTCTGGCGCGTCGCTCGGCGGCCGTGCGCACGGCCAGCGGCCTGAACCTGGACACGGAGTGTGTGCCGCCGCCACCCAGCCAGGAGTTCCAGACGGCCCGGCTCTTCCTCAGCCACTTCCAGTTCCTGGACGACTGTGCCGTGGGCGCCGCCCGCCAGCAGCTGCAGGTCAGCCGACCCGGGCCGGGCGACCATGGCACCGGGCCGATGTGGCGGCGTTAGCGTCCTGTTCATCTCATATACTAGTTGCGCGAGGTATCTCTGTCTGTTTGTCTGTCGGTCTGTTTGTCGTCTTTTTCGTCGAACTCGTCCGCAGGTCGAACATTAAGGTGACGAGTGAAACTGCACACGATGCGCGTGCGCACGAGGCCGCACTCCACGTCTAACTCGCGGACTGTTACGGTTATGGGCGTATTACGGAAGGTACATGGTTAAGGCGGGGGCGTATAACAGAAGATTGCCCCAAATGATGTTTCCGGATCACTTATTTGTGCCGTTAAAGAGATTTTTGATGATATTTGTGATATTTGAAAGATGGTTGTCTGCCTTCGTTTTCTTATTCACGGTATGTTGCCTTTCCATATGGGGCCAGCTGCCTCTTCTGCGATGTGACTGTTTTCAAGAGCAGGCTCCACCCGCCTTACCGGCTGTCGCCAATGTATACGTCCAATGGACGCCACGTTTGTGTCATACTTGTGTATGAAGGCACACTCGCAAATGTATGTCTTGTATTTGTATCGTATCTGTCTATATATCTATTTGTCTATATTATGTCTTATATAATATAACATATGCATATATATATATATATATATATATATATATATATATATATATATATATATAGAGAGAGAGAGAGAGAGAGAGAGAGAGAGAGAGAGAGAGAGAGAGAGAGAGAGAGATATAGATATATATATATATATATATATATATATATATATATATATATATAGATATATATATATAGATATATATATATATATATATATATATCTATCTATCTATCTATATATATCGTATATGTCTTTATGTATTGTATTTGCTACTTGAATTTGATTGTAAATAACACTTACGTGTTCATAAAATTATTTTCTCAATGTGTGTGTCCACTGGCGGCTGTGTGCGTCTATCTGACTCAGCCGTCTGTGTTGTGTGCGTCTGTCTGACTCAGCCCATCTGTGTTAGTACGTCTGTCTGACTCGGTCCGTCTGTCTGACTCAGTCCGTCTGTGTTAGTACGTCTATCTGACTCAGCCGTCTGTGTTGTGTGCGTCTGTCTGACTCAGCCCGTCTGTGTCGTGTGCGTCTGTCTGACTCACCCCGTCTGCGTTAGTGCGTCTGTCTGACTCAGCCGTCTGTGTTATGTGTGTCCGTCTGACTCAGCCCGTCTGTGTTGTGCGCGTCTGCCTGACTCAGCCGTCTGTGTTGTGTGCGTCTGCCTGACTCAGTCCGTCTGTGTTGTGCGCGTCTGCCTGACTCAGTCCGTCTGTGTTGTGCGCGTCTGCCTGACTCAGCCGTCTGTGTTGTGTGCGTCTGCCTGACTCAGTCCGTCTGTGTTGTGCGCGTCTGCCTGACTCAGCCGTCTGTGTTGTGTGCGTCTGTCTGACTCGGTCCGTCTGTGTTGGGTGCGTCTGTCTGACTCACCCCGTCTGTGTTGTGTGCGTCTGTCTGACTCAGCCGTCTGTGTTGTGCGCGTCTGCCTGACTCAGCCGTCTGTGTTGTGCGCTCCCGTCTGACCGGAGCCGTCTCTGTTTGGCAGCCGTCCTGGCGGGCGGGCCGCCAGCTGGTGGCGCTAGACGCTCTGGCCGAGGGGTTCGCCGCCGACCTGGACGCCCTGGATGCCACCACGTTCCGCACATGCGACACCGTGCACGTGTACTACGTGCGCGACGGACAGACAGATGCCGCCAGCGTGCTTACCAACGGGGTACGCTCCTGCCTCGCTGCCGTGTGGAGGCGGTTGGTGAGGGCGTTCTTGATGCTGACGTGAATAATTGGGTTTGTCGTTGGTTTGTTAGTTACTGATCTGACCTCAGGGTGAGCATGGGTAATATTTTACATGGCTCTATTCTTGTGTATGTGTCATTACTCATGACCATCTTGCTTGTTTGATACATCAACATCAGTTACAGAGTTACTCCCTGCTGTATCTATTAGAAGGTTGGATTAGTATGTCGTAGTCAAACCACTAAGAAAAAGATTGCACAATGAAGCCACAATATAAAAGATATCGTGGCAAAAACCTGTACTAAGTCCTCTAACGCTACGCCAAGACCCTGTGGACCACGAGCGGCTCATCCACTCAGCGTGCGTCGGCGGTGTTGTAACGGCGCCGCTCCATCTGCGCAGGCGTCGCTGGGCGCGCTGGACGGTCCGTTCACCGAGTTCCTGCTGTCTCTGGGCTGGCCAGTGGACGTGACGGTGCACCCGGGCTGGACGGGCCGGCCCCAGACCTCGTTCAACACGGCCCAGCACCGGCCAGGTACGTCAGCTGTGCGGTGCGGCGCCGTGCAGGGCGGCAGGGCTCGATGGCGCCTGGTCCGGACGAAAGGCTGGGCCGCTAGCTGCGGCAGGGCTCGACGGTGAGACGTGGGCAGCGGTGCGTCCGCCTGGTCCGGACATATTAAATACGGCCAACCCCCAAATTTGAAATGCGTGGGGCTCGATTCAAGCCACCCGCCCGCGTGATCCATGAGAAACAATGTTGAAGAATGAAATGAGGCGAGGTCGCTTGCGCGCCCTGTACATGCCCCCTTATGGCTGTGTTTTATATGCGCCACGTTATGTGCTGACACGGCCGTCCCATGTTGACCTGACCTCTCAAAGCCCGTCACCAGCATACCGTGTAACTAGTCAAACAGTCGAGCTCGAACTCTAGGGCGCAATCCCACATGGTGTGCCAACCTGGCGGTCCGGTATCAAGCGCCCCGATTCGATGACTGGACGGCGCTGGCGGCTGACCATCGGTGCGATGAAGCGCACATCGGTAAATTACCTTTTGGCCTTCCATCCTGCTTTTGCCGTGTTTCGTGGCGCTTGCGGCAACCTCCGTCCGAAGTCGGCACAGCTATCCCTCATGGCCAGTTGTCGTGCGTCACGTACTGCCTCTGCGCCTTTGCCATGATGTGTCATCACTGTCGCGTCGCTATCTTGGAGCATCCACCTCGTATGCGTCGTCGCCAGCCCCGAGCGCACGCGACGGCCGTCCACCGGTGCCGTCTGACGGGCGCCGCGCGTGTCCGCAGCGTCGCCGCCAGCGGTGCCGCCGGCCGCCGGCCCGCTGGCGTTTGACGGCGCGCGATGGGCGCTCTACTGGGCTGACGCGCTCAGCGAGGTAGCGTTCGTGGTGCCGAGCCCGGCGCTGCCGGCCGACCGGGCCGGCGCGGCGGCGGAGGCGCGCCGACGCGGCGGGCCCGACCCGCCCGTGCTCGTCGTCTGGCTGGAGAGCTACGACGACCATCTGTCGTTCCCGGCCGGTCAGTCTGGGGGAGATGGGAGGAGCGGGGTGCTGATGTGAGCACGGGAGGGTGTCGACGCGTGAAAGAAAATATGAGATGCTTGTAATGTGATGCCGTTTCATTGCTGGACCAGCGGCGTGATGGATTTTTGTTATTTTGTTGTTTTTTTTGTTTGTTTTTTTGGAAGAGCAAATCACTTGCCATGCTGCATTCGTCTTGATGCGACACTAACTTTTGCACATTTGGGACGGTCTTGATTCGTTGCGTGTTTAGCAAAATCAGGCTTCAAATTACTAATTCGATAGGAAACAGCGCGATCAATGTGGTCCACAAGCCAGTCGGCTGTCTCCGCCTGGCGCCGCGCCTTACGCGCCACTCCAGTGCCGGCGGACAGGTGTCCGGCGGGGCGGCCAGCGCCGGACACCGGCCACTTCACCAGCCGACTGACCCCGGCCTGTGTCCTGGCGCCGGCAGCGGAGCTGGAGCCCCCGCCGCCTCCGCTGGCCGCCGGCCAGGAGAGGGCGGCCGCCGACACCGCCGCCTACATCATCTTCATCCACGCCCTCCAGAACCGACTCTACCGCATCCACCTGCAGGGGCCGGCCGGAAAGTAGGTCCTTGGTGTCAGAGATGCGTGAGTGTGGCCCATCGTCGGCTGTCGGATGGGACGAAACCGCACAGTTCAATGTAGGTTTCGAGCCACGTCTCCTGATTGATGTGGTCGTTTTGCTGCGTACGGGGTTGCGCCTTCTGGTCGTCATGTGGCTGTATAAGGAGACTGTCATATCGCTCATGCATGTTCTCTCCAGGATGACATTTGCGTCGCCCCTGGTGGAAGGCATGGTCGTCAGCAGGCGATCTCTGGGCCATCTGGTGAGGCAAACCGTCATCAACGTCTGCATCCGCCGCCGCCTGGAGAACGAGAAGTACGTGGCGCCACCCGCCTGGGAATCTCTCGGAACTGCACGGCATTGGATTCCGGTTGTAGATGCAGAAATACTGACTCATTACTATGTGGTCATTTTTTCGACCAACACCCGCAGGCTCTACGGAGCCTTGGTTGTGAATTAATTATCCTGCCAACGTTAATTGTTCGGAGGCTTTGGGCATGCTGCACGTTGCTGTCAATCTGGGAATTGTCGTTTGCACATTTCTTACGCAGGGAATAACTCAAAGCATCACTCAAAGGAGTGAGCGTCACTCAAATGAGTGAGCGTTACTCAAAGGAGTGGCGTCACTCAAAGGAGTGACCTGCAAAGAAGTCTCGAAATTCTACATATACGCGCGAGCGATAATCGTTGATCTACATGGCAAGCGATCGTCGGTCTGATCGGTACCGACGTATGAGCGTCTCCAGAGTGTGCTGCTGGGCCCGACCTGCGGGGGTCACCGCAGCCGCTGACTGCCGCCTGTGGCCGCCCCGCAGCAGCCACCCGCCGCACGTGCGCCGCAAGCAAAAGATCCAGGAGATGCTGCTCAAGTACCAGCGGAACATGTCGCCGCCCGAGTTCTACACGCAGCTGTTCTCGGTCGACTGTTCTCAGTGCTGACGTCACGTGTCCTGATGACGTCACGGCAATGCCTTGAGTTGGAACCGCGTAAGCGCAGGATCACACCCACGTTAGAGCAAGCAGTATAGATTACGTGACTTGTTGAGAAAAGCTTTCCACGCCTTCACCACTTACATGTTGAATTCGCGAGCGGCAGCTTGTAAAGCTTGCTTGCTATGGGGTCTGGATCGCCCCCGATTGGACCGGGCGTCTGTGTTGCTGCTTTGAATGCCGGCGGCGTCCACGCCCCGATCCGGCCAATGGGTGTGCGGATGGCTAGCGTCAGATCGCTGACATTCGGTAGGGTAGGCCTGCTGACTTTCGGTAGGGCAGACCTCTCGTGCTGACATTCGGTAGGGTAGGCCTCTCGTTCAAATAGCGCTGTTATTTGTTTTGTATCGGTTGCTGGTGAACCACCGTCCTTTACGCGGTTATGTATACAGTTATCGGCGATTCCAAAGCCAAGAGGCTTAGAAGCCAAGAAAGCCAAGGAGGCTTTGGTGCGTGCCGTGAAGTCTCTGAACACCTGAGGTGTGTGGGTGGCGCGGACCGCTGTGTTGTTGCTAGTTACCAAAGCGCTGGCGCTCTTCAACGCCTCGATATATTGTGGCACGTTTGGAAATGGAAAACTGTGGGCGAAAGCATTTCGCGCATACGACAGAGGGACGCTTGTCCTGTTTTGATGTTTCTAAGAATATATTTGCTTCTAAGCATTATCTTTGCTGCTTTCCTTTTTCTTTTTTAACGGAATGGCACGTGTCGATTCCCCCAGCCGTTCGGATTTGCATTTGTTAGCACGTCAGCTCGTGGGGGAATGGGATGAACAGCCGCGGCAGTGTAACGCTCACTATAAAACTCAGTAAAGAGTGAAAGTCTCAGCTAGGTTTTTGTCGTGAACAAATGACATCTGCATTGTGCTTTGATGGTCGCTCGAAGGCCGACAGCAAACACCAACTACCGACTGCTCGTCTCCGCTGAGCTAACGCGGATGAGATGGTGTGGAATTTGCAGAATGCGTGAGGCTTGCAGGGCAGTATATGTGCGAATGACAGCTTAGGTCAAGGATAATCTAAAAAGGAATACGTGAGACTTGAGGGACGAGATATGTGAGCATTATGATATATGGTATATATGATACTTGCGGAACAGGATATATGCCGCGACATAAGCCTTCCAAACAGGCCATGGCAAGGCATGTTTCAAGGCAAGGGAAGGCATTCCCATGCCAGAAGAAGTTCGTCTCGGAAATTTTTCCTCCACGATACGAACCCTGACAAATCCTTCGCTGACACCATCGTTAGATGTGGCCCCCTATCCATCCATCGCCGGTGGTCAGCCACATGCCCGTTTATAACGAGCGGAGGCAAGGTTTATTCCCAGCCGGGAGGAACATCTCGTGCGACGCGCAGTGCCCGGAGCAGACCGCTGCGGGTGATGTGTGGATACGCACCGCGCCGCACTGGCCCGACGCCAGTGGAGCGGATGGTCGTTACCGTGGCCCCGAGCAACAAACAGCTGACGGTCAACAATGCATATATTAAACACTGCACGCGTGTCGGTGTCACGACACAGCACAACCACCTCGCTCAAACCTGAATCCCGTTAGCAGAACACGCAGTGGGGATTCTTTCTCAATCTTGAGCCGCAACGTAAGTGGGAGTCTTAACCCATCCCGAACAAGCAAATATGCATGTTCCGGTGTTAAGTCAACATCTCAACAACACTCGGAATGGGCGGCCGTGGGGGCCTATAGCCGCGGACCATGACAGCTCAATTTCTTACCTTCAAACAAGAGCACAGTGCTTTCGTCCCTCTCACTCACGGCATTTGACCAGCCAAGGCCGATCCTGGCCTAAAGCCGAGGCTCGCGCGCCGCCAGATGGTGCGAGACGCCGCGCCTTCACGTGGTTCAACCATCACGGCCCAGCTGTTGAGTTGGCGTCTCCCCTGTCAGGGTGCCAGCCGGGTCGGCGGCTTGTCGCACTGGTCCCGTCGGTGATCTAGCTCGTCCAAGTGGTCCAGCTGGGCGTCCTGGTCGGCCTGGCCCGGCTGTGGCGCCGTCTGGTCCACCTGGGGGTCCGTTTGGCCCGGCTGCGGCACCGTCTGGTCCAGCTCATAGGGGTCCGTTTGATCCACCTGTGGGTCCGTCTGGCCCGGTTGTGGGACAGTCTGGTCTAGCACGTAGGGGTCCGTCTGGTCCAGCCGAGGGTCCGGCTGGTCTGAGCGCGGCCAATGGCCGTCCAGCGCGGCCGCCAGCAGCCGGTCCAGCCGGTCCAGCAGGCGGCGGCTGTCCTCGGTCGGCGGCGGCTGCAGACTCACCACTAGCCGCAGTGACGCCACGCCGCCAAACACGCCCGGTGACGTCATCACTCGGGTCAGCTCGCCTGAGGGCGGGAGGCGAGGTGGTCTGAGCAGGGGCGCTGGAAGGTCGTCCGTCCCCAGCGAAACGCTGCCCTCCAGACGGCAACAGATAATGAAATACACCGCTGAAAGACACATTCTGCTGCGAGTGTTTTCTTTGTCTTTGTACCGCTTTTCTTCACATCTCGTCCCTTGTTTTTCCCCGCCGCAAGACACAGCGCACACACACCCTCACTTGACTTCTGCACATATTACGGAAGTGCCTTGACCATCGCCCTGATGGCGGGTGGGGTTGATGCGACCCCCCAAGGTTTTTCGAGGATACCTCCCCGGCATGCAGTGCAAGTGCACCCAAAATTTTCAATAGCCTGTGGTGATGCCGCGGGACGCGCGCGTCTGGCCAACATCGTTTCATTAAAAAGCCACATATCATAAATCCAAGTTGAAAACAAATCAAAAATAGTAGCATTGTGCTCAGAAATGAATACTGAATGCGTCTGTTTAACCGCTTTGTCGCTACGAGGCATGGTTTTTTTTTCATGGTCTGGCGATTTTCGGGAAAACGTAACCTTTGACCTGACATCTTGGCGTCAATTATTGACTTAACAACATAAAAACCAGTACTAATCACGGGATTTCGTTGGGATCAATCCACTCATGTGTTCTGCTAAGCTTTTTATTTATAACTTTGGAAACGCCAGGGGTTCGCATCGACCCCCCCCCCCCCCCCCCTCAGAACGCGTTATGAAAAACGGCGATCAGGGCGAAGGTCTAACGCCAAGAACAATACACCGAATAAGTGTCAAGAGCAAAATCAAGCTAAAGACGCAGTGAATGAATATTCAACACTTATAGCATTACAAAGCCGCTACCAGGCAGCCGACTGCGACTCACCGACATCGGCACAGCGCTCCAGCAGCTGGGCCGCCTCGTCGGCCTGGCTCCAGAGCCGGCGCAGCTCGGGCAGATCGGGCGCAGCTCGCAGCAGCGGCGCGCACGCCTCGGCCAGCCGGAGCGGCTCGACGCACAGACTGTCGGGCCCCGGCTGGAACAGGTAGCCGGGGCTGGCGGCGGCGCGCACCAGCTCCACCGCCGACGGCGAGGGCGAGACGAGCCGCAGCGCCAGCGCGCCGGCGCCGGGACAGTCACCGCAGAGGTGCAGCAGACGCGCCGCACGCTCGGACGGCCGGCAGCCCAGCAGACGGCCGGCCCAGTCGGCGACGCGGCGGCGCACCTCCTCCTCGTCGTCGTGCAGCAGGCAGACGGCGGCGCCGACCAGCTGCGGCCGCAGCGCGGCCGGTGCGCGCGGCCAGAGGACGGACAGGGCGCCAGCCGCGTCCAGCCGCGCGCCCTCCCAGCGGCGCGGCGTGCTGTCCGTGAGCACGCGCCGACACGCGGCCAGGAGGAGTTCTGGGTCGTCTCCCTCCGCGGCGAGCGCCGCCAGCGCCGGCAGCAGGTCGGCGCCGGAGACGAGCGCCTGCAGCGCGGCCGGGCTGTCGCGCACGTGGCGCAGCAGCGAGATGGTGCCGGCGCGGTGGCGCAGCACCAGCTCCAGGCAGTGGCGTAGACGGCGACCGCCGCCGCTCGCCGCCAGCAGCTCGGCGGCGCGGCGCACGGCCAGCGCCGCGCACTCGTCGCTCGGCGGCCGCTCCGCGCGGTACGCGCTATCGATCAGACGGTCCGTCAGCTCCGCCGAACCGCCGGCCGTCGCGCGCCGCACCGCCTCCGCCGCTGCCACCGGGTCGGCGACCAGCAGCGCCAGGCTTCGGTCGAACAAGAGGTCGTGGCCCGGCTCCCAGCCGTCGCCGTCGCTAGCCAGCACCGTGCGGCGGGCGAGCTGCCGCGCGGGCGCCAGCGCCTCGGCCGCCGTCGGCAGCTCGGCGGCCAGCTCCAGCGCCTGGTGCTGCACCGCCGGGCAGGGCGAGTGCAGCGCGCGTCGGCACAGGTCCGCGGCGGTGGCGGCGTGCTCGGAGCGCGCCGCCACGCGCCGCGCCAGCAGCAGCCGACCGTGCAGCCGATTCTGGCCGTCGCCGCCGCCCGCGTGCAGCTCCTCCTCCAGCTGGTCGGCGGTCAGCAGCGCGGCGAGCGCGCGCGCCGTCAGCTGCCGCACGGCGCACGCCGGCGAGACGAGCAGCGGCCGCAGCGCGGCGCGATACCGCGCCAGCAGCGGCGCCAGGCCGGCGTCGGCGCCGGCCGCTGTCACGTGCGACAGCAGCACCAGCGCCGGCACCAGGACCGGCTGCTCTCCACCCAGCAGCGCCAGCAGCGGCTCGGCCAGCGCCGGCCAGCGGCCGAACAGCTCGGCGAAGGTGACGCAGTTGTGGTCGGAGCCCTCGTCACGGCTCTTGCGCTGTCCGATCAGGCGCGGCACGACGGCGCCGTACAGCACGAACGAGGCGTTCCTGCCACCGGAGAGCCGGTCAGCATCTGCGCCGAGCGGCGACACCGAGTTCGAATTCCGATAAGGAACCCTCATCAGTGATGCGTTGTTCCAGATTGTTTGAACATTCGGGGTAAGATGTACGGTCTATTAGCGCAGCTAATATACTGCTATAAAAAGGCAGGTCAATATTCTGTCAAACAACAATAAGAACGTAAACGAAAAGTGAGATGACAGGATGAAATATTAGTCATCTTATAAGATCAGAAACACGGTGGAGCCACAAACCAAACAATCCCGCGCGTTTTGAAAAGGCAAAAATATAAATGCCGGGGAATCACAGCTGACTTATTAAGCACACAACCTGCGCCGGCTTTTGTATCAATGCTCGCATTCATGCCTGGACTACCCAGCTTGGATTCTACAGCAGTAGTTTGTGGACCGAGTGGTTGTTAATGCGTTCAAAACAGCTTGTATAGGTTGACAGCCTCCGATTGTGCCCCGAACATGAACAAGCGATACCAAGTGCGAATGAAGCATAAGAATCCCAAGACCCTGAGGGTCAGTTCGAGCAAATGGATCCAATAACCTGAAATGTGACAGCCGACCCACTGATGGCAGGAAGCATTCACGCCGGCTGTTCCTTGCGGCTTATGAGGTATTTTCTGACGGAACCACTGACAAGTCGATGAGGCCGGTGGACTCGGACCACACCGCTCAGTCTTAATCGGCCCGCAGCGCCGCTCCGTGTCCGAGATGGAGCCGCGCCGGTCGCGGGCACCGGAGTCGCTGCGGGTCTCCGAGACGGACCCGCATCCGAGCCGGGCTCGGTTGCGGCGCGAGCTGCTGCGACGCGGCGCGCCCACGCCGGCCGCCGACGCCCCACTCGAGGAGCTCCTACGCTACCACGAGCACTACGTGACGGCGGTGTGTCCCCCGACGCCCG